CAAAACAACCCCACTCGTCACCCCTTTTTTTCAGGGCGAACTTTGAACATTGTGGACTAGTCAGCGGTACCAAAATAACCCCCAAAAACGTCACGATGAGAGCTTTGTTCCGTCTGCTTCCTGTATTTCTTTTTGCCAATATTTTTTGGTCGGGACCGAAATAAAAGCCGCTTTATTGCCGGCTAATTCTAATTCTTATCGCTGGGTGACGGACAAACGGGCGATGATTTACACACCCCATTGTGCTCTACTGATTGCCATTGTCTATCTGCCCAGCCCACCTGTTGCTTTTTTTTTCCGTTTTGTAGTCCAGTTAGTTTATTATTAATTTTTTGCGTTGCCAATCTGCCTTGACCTCCAAAAGTGCCATGGAAAATGGCTTTCCCCATTACTTTTCCAAGTTTCGTGTCTGTCCATCGACGATCGCGAATGTTTATATCCGTTTTGGGTGCTGAAATCATTCACGATTTAGCTCAGTCACGATTTTTGTTTACCCATTCAAAGCTTCGAAAGCTCTGACAAGTTTTACATACCGTTTCGTGTTAAATTCTCAATTCATTCACTTAATAGCAACCATTAGGGAAACGCCAACAGGGCCTAATGTTTGTACTCAAATTAAAGATCATTTTAAATTTTGATATAATTTTCGAATATACTGGAACTATGGGATTTATTTATAAACGTTTCAGTTTAGTTTTAGCCTATTTACCTTTGGATTTTATAGTTATAGTTCTAGGTCCACATATTATTAATGCCCAGTGTAGTTAGTCAAAGACTTTTTGCAGCTGTTGTATATAAAATTATGTCGGCTATTGGCATTGGCTTCTGTTGCCAAGTTCAGAACAAAAAGGGAAAGGCATGTAAAGTACATACAAACATTTAATTGTACAATGTTAAAATATAGTATTAAGTAAGAACAACTGCGGTTAAATCAATAGCACTCCTATACTTTGTATAGTAAATGAATTTAAATCTTTCAATACAAAAATAATATTTTACGATCTTAATTGCGATATGCGTAAGAATTCGCCATGTAGTTCCCTTAAAAATTGTTGTGCTATTAAATTACCATATTTAAAATAAAGCCCATTTTACAATTACGAAATACCCATTATTTTTACCGCAACTATAGGAGATAACTTTGAAATTAGGTGACTATTTGAGTGCAAAGAATCGAATTAAGTCTCCTCGGGCAATTAGGAAGCCTCGCATTACAGTAAGTGATCCAATTGTGGTCGGGGTAATTAGCCCAATTGTGGGACGCCCGGTACGTGGCCACCCATTTAAGAACGCCACCGCCGCGTGCTCGATGTAAATGCTACAGAAATAAATAATACCAAGTATATAATGCAATGTGTTTCCTCATGGTCGTTTCCCCTCTTTTTTTTGTCATTGTTTCAGGGAGGGCAACCACCCCGACGATTATTCCCGGGGCCTCACCTATCGCAAGTTGCTGGAGGAGGTCTGTCGCTTTGCCAATGTGCTGAAGGATCATGGGATCCGCAAGGGCGACCGTGTGTCCATCTACATGCCGATGATCCTGGAGCTGCCCATCGCTATGTTGGCCTGTGCCCGCATTGGAGCCGTGCACTCGATCGTCTTCGCCGGTTTCTCGCCGGATTCCCTCGCCGAGCGGATGTTCGACTGCAAGGCCAAGCTGCTGATTACGGCCGATGGAGCCTGGCGCGGCGAGAAGCCCCTGTATTTGAAGGCCCTGTGCGATACGGCGCTGGAGAAGGTCGAAGAGCTGGGCCACTCGGTGGAGAAGTGCATCGTGGTGTCGCATCTGAAGCGGGTCACGCCCTGCCAGCCGGATCATGTCGAGGAGGAGATCCCGTGGACCGATGACCGCGACTACTGGTGGCACGAGGAGATGGAGGACAAGGAGCCGGCCTGCTATCCCGAATGGATGGACGCCGAGGATCCGCTGTTCATGCTCTACACCAGTGGCTCCACCGGCAAGCCCAAGGGAGTGCTCCACACCACCGCCGGCTATCTGCTGTACGCGGCCACCACCTTCAAGATCGTCTTCGACTACAAGCCGGGTGACATCTACTGGTGCACCGCCGATGTGGGCTGGATCACGGGACACACGTACGTGGTGTACGGACCACTGGCCAATGGAGCCACTTCAGTGATTGTGAGTGTCTGGTTAGATCTAAGTAACCATTAGTGGGATTTCTGACTAACAACTGGATTTATTACCTGTCTTTTTGCAGTTCGAGGGCACCCCATTCTTTCCTGGAAACGATCGGTACTGGAGTGTCATTGACAAATATAAGGTCACCCAGTTCTATACAGCTCCCACGGCCATCCGTGCCCTCATGAAGTACGGCGAGGCACCCGTGCTAAAGCACAACCTCAGCGGACTCAAGTAGGTTGCTTGGGATTTCGTAAAACTAATTCTTCAGTTCTAGTGATGAGTAATAGTTACTGTAGATGTCATAAATACATCGTATTCAAATTAAGATTAAGAGAAATTGAGGAAATTAGTCTAATCAAAACGTTACTTTGTGATTCGAAATGTGTTAATCACATAAATGATTTTAGATTTTGATTATAAATGCATTTGTCTAAGCTAAATTTATACACCTTTTAATATAATTAACAAACCAAAAATTTAAATTTGATTATAATTGTCAATTTAATCAATTCAAAGGTTATGAGCCGTTTTCTTGTCCGTTTGTTAAATTTAAAGTTGGGTTAAAACCTTGAAATCGTATGGAAAATCAGAGTTTTAACCCTACTTTCAATTTAACAGGCAGACGAGAAAACGGCTCTTAGTCTAGATCGTTTAATATAAATCCTAATTTATTTAATATTTGTAATATTTTACTTACAATATTATCTACATTGTCTTGCAGAGTTTTGGGCAGCGTGGGTGAGCCCATCAATCCGGAGGCCTGGCTGTGGTACTACCGCGTCGTTGGAAAGGAGCAGTGCTCCATTGTGGACACCTTTTGGCAGACGGAAACCGGCGGTCATGTCATCACACCCCTGCCCGGAGCCACTCCCATGAAGCCTGGATCTGCTGTAAGAAAAATTAGCCTACCTAAAAACTAAAACCAAAATTAATATTTATGATACTTTACAGTCATTCCCCTTCTTCGGCGTCAAGCCCACTTTGCTGGATGAGTGCGGTATCGAGATTAAGGGAGAGGGCGAGGGCTACTTGGTCTTCTCGCAACCTTGGCCTGGAATGATGCGCACCTTGTATAACAACCATGAACGCTTTGAGGACACGTACTTCTCCAAGTTCCCGGGCTTCTACTGCACTGGCGATGGTGAGTCACTATTAAACTCTAAATTTTAAATACCTATTCCTAATCCTCTATTTTCCTATTTATCTAACAGGAGCCCGTCGCGATGCTGATGGCTATCTGTGGATCACTGGCCGCGTGGACGACATGTTGAACGTGTCCGGACATCTGATGTCCACCGCCGAGGTGGAGTCAGTCCTAACGGAGCATCCTCGTGTGGCCGAGTCCGCCGTTGTCTCCCGTCCGCATCCCGTCAAGGGCGAGTGCCTCTACTGCTTCATCACGCCCAATGAGAACGAGGTGTTTGACCAGAAGCTCATTTCGGACCTGAAGAAGATGGTGCGCGAGCGTATCGGACCCTTTGCCATGCCGGATGTCATCCAGAATGCCCCTGGATTGCCAAAAACTCGCTCTGGAAAAATCATGCGCCGCGTGCTGCGCAAGATTGCGGTTAACGATCACAACGTGGGCGACACCTCCACCCTAGCCGATGAGCAAATTGTGGAGCAACTCTTCGCCAACCGGCCAGTGGAGGCCAAGTAAATGATGGTCAAACTGGATAACTAGGATCCCCTATCCAAGGCTTTCTCCGGCTTGCACTGACCACTCCACTCTGCCAGCGCATTTGTACCACTTGCGTAACCCGATTACGTATCCTGTAAATCTCCCCCTACATATATAAAATACCTATTGCTTAATGTTGGTCCCGTTCCGGGCTGCGGCGTGGTTAGCACCTTCTAAATTCTACCTAGTTCGTAAGCCTAAGCGTGTGCGTAAGTAAGTCGGCACTATCTATCGTCTTTATATCCTTGTGTATTTGCCTGTTCACCGTAGTCAACATGCTCAGCACGCACACATTTTCCAGTTCTTTTCGTTTCTTCGTTGTAGTCGTAGCTTAAGTTCTCGCTAATTCGTTGTGATACAAATTTAATTATATCTTACTTATGTATGTATTTTTAGTAGAATTGATATGAGACAAAATATATACACGATTCCAGTTGTAGCCACAAATTACACAGCTCACACTTTTCAGTTGTATCCTTAAATGTATTATTTTGTAGTCTCTCTGATTTCACCTTTTCAGATCTGAGGGGACACGCACGTAAGTCCGGAACCGATCGGGGAAATCGGTTTCTTTCCCCCCCTCCCATTAGAACGTAAGTTTCGAAAACGATACATATCAGTGTGGCATAATGCTCGACACATTCCTACATACGATCTACATGTTAAAGATAACTATATACACCATATATATATATGTTATACGGTCAGAAGACTTACTGCAACGAAACATATCATTGAAGTTACTGCTGCAAGCCTATGAATATTATAGAGGATTTTATTGTTAGAGCTCGTTATTTGGGATATTAGGGAGATTGGCTGATGAGGGGCAACGATCCCCAGTCTGATTGTAAAAAGATTGTTAGCTTTACAGCGATGGCGATGAGGGGAAGAATGCAATTTACATATCTATATATATATTTCTGTATATGAACGTATGTGTATAATAAAGTTTATTGTTTTAATGTGTTTAAACCTGCAAATCCAAAGGAAATCGTTTTAGTTTTCAGGGTTAGAGAAATTCTTTTTAAATATTAAAGTGTATTATTTATCACACTGGCCTTGCTGGAAACTTCCGTGTGAAGCAGTCGATTCCCAACCTTTGACAAGCACGCACTCATTAGATTTTCGGCTCGGCCTTTTAACACCTTGGTGGCAGTGGAGGAACTTGGACTTGGTCTCGATCTCGATCAGAATGGCCGACGACCAGCATCCGCCTGCCAAGGAGCCGACCCAAAGTCCCTCACAGGAGACGACCAGGGAGCGGAATGCGGCCACGAGATTTGGTTTGGAGGACCACGAGGCCACGCAGCAGGATGCCCGGGTGAACACACTGCGGCACGCGGAGGAGCGACGTGGCTCCATGGCGCCTGCGCGCGCAAATGAACCGCATCGAGCACCAGGAGCACCGGGAGCTCCGGCATCACCGAGTCCCAAGCCCGCTCCCACGCCAGCCAAGCCGTTGGAGGACATTTCGTCCCGCAACTCCATGATACCAGGTGCCGCTGTGGCGCCAGATCTTCCGCCAAAGCCACAGCGCTCCTCCGATGCCGACGCCGATGGGGAATCCTCCGAGGTGGACAAGAAACCGGCTGGGAACCAGAAGAGGAAATCGGAGAAGGTCGTAACGGATTCATCATCATCCTCGGACGATGAGATGTCGAAAAAGAAAACCGCGAGAACCGCTCCTGAACAAGCCGATGAATCACCTCCACCGCCAGAGCAACCTCAGCCGCAGCCGCAGCGGAAATCCATAGATTTCGCGGAGGCAGAAGCCACGCCCATCCCTGCGCCGCCGCCGCAGAGGCAGGAGGATGTGCCAATGCCGCCGCCCATGATGGCCTCCCTGCCCAACGAAGACAGCAAGGACGATGTGCAGAGCCTGAACAGCAAGCTGACCAACACGGACATCACCTTTCATCCCTCGAAAGTGTTCGCCTCCAAGGGAACCAATACCTCCGGCATGATCTATTCGGACGAGGAGGAGGAGCAGCCGGCGGAGGAGGAATTTCCCCCGCTGCCGGCTCAGTTCTCCGCCAGCGATCTGGACACATTGTTCCTGCTGGCCTGTCGCGAGGTGAGGAAGGCCGGCGCCATCGCCCTGGCGGAGAACGAGAAGCAGCAGGAGTACACCACCAAGAAGCACACCAATGACCTCGTCACTCCCGCCGACAATATTGTCGAGGAGAGCTTCATCAAGGCCATCAGTGCGAGGTTTCCCGATCACAAGTAAGTTGGGGTTACTTTTAGGAAATAATCCTGAAGTCTTGGAGAAATACCTCTTTTTTAAAGTCGGTTAGGTAAAAGTAAACTTTATCAACAATGAATAGGAACAATAATTAAAAGAAAATTTCTGATAGAACCTCCAATATTTATTGAAATTTTTATTTGCAAATTTAAAATAGCATGACATAATTTAAAAATATTTAATCAAGGGTGAAAATAATAGATTAGATTTTATTATATTTTATGGGGTTGAGAAATCAATTTTCATTTAAAAATCGAAGTTTAAAATATAAAAGTAAACTAGGATTGTTAAATTTAATATTTCCATATAAGAAATGATTACAAACCGCAATGGATAAAAACAAACAGGAAAATATTTATTATTAGTATAAAATCTGTGGATTTACTTCGTTATTTTTATCGCTGTAGGATGTAATAAATTTACTTCGGTTGTTCTAAATAGTATTTTTTCATTTCGCCTGCAGTTTCATTGCCGAGGAGCGCACTTCCAAGTCGGAGACCGGAATGGTGACCCTGACGGATGAGCCAACCTGGATAATCGATCCCATCGATGGCACCATGAACTATGTCCACCACTTTCCGTACTACTGCATCTCGGTGGCCTACATGGTGAATCGGGAGACCCAGTTCGGTATTATCTATAATCCTCCGATGAAGAACATGTACACGGCGCAGCGGGGAAAAGGGGCTCAGCTGAATGGCGAGATAATAAGGACGACTGGCCAGGTCAACTTATCCTCGGCGATGGTCCTGCAGGAATACAGCTCGGGCGGCAATGAGACGCGCAACCTGATAGCCCAAGAAAATGCCCAGCGGCTGCTGAAGAAGACCCATGCGTGAGTAAATGAATCGTATCCTTATATTTAATATACTAACCTAATAAACAGGATGCGTTCCATTGGATCTTCTGCCATGGGTTTGGCCATGGTGGCCTCCGGAGTGGCGGATGCCTACTACAACTTTGGATTGCACGTTTGGGATATGGCGGCGGGAACTTTTATAGTCATCGAGGCGGGCGGAGTGGCAATAGATCCGGCTGGCGAGGAACTGGACATAATGTCCCGCAGATGCCTGGCTGCCTCCACCGAGCATTTGGCTTTGGAGCTGGGCAGCCACCTGGAGCAGAACTATCCATCGCCACGCGACGACGAACCGCGATCCGTGAATCCCAATGAATATGGACCAGCTGCGGAGACCAGGGACTTTACCGGACAGACGGATTTCCCCGATACGGACACGCCGGAGACCACGGACACCGAAGTAGCCAACGAGAAGCCAGCGGCGACTGCCAACTGACCACCAGGAAGGCCGGCCTGAATTTCCGTGTTTTTAGTTATTTAATAAATTGACGAAAATAACATGGCCTTAAAATTCAAAAGAATATCTGTTTACCTATTCATTTCTTGTCTGGTATTTGAATACTTAACCCCTAAACATGATTTCGAATTTTTATTTGCTTTTTTCAAAAATTGTTTCTTGTAAGTCTTCAATATATGGAAGTGATTTAGTGAATGTTTTACAGCAGTAAGTTATGGGAATATCCCGATTTCCTTATACTTAAATTGCAATTTGAATTTTCCGGAAATATTTCATGGTTTGAGACTTCGCTAAATTAGCAGTAAAGTTCTCAACCATTTACATGGGAATGTACAAAATTATTTTTGAGATATTTTAATAAATATCAGTTAAAAAACTGTAAAAATTAGCCACACAATTTTTTAGACATTTTTCTAATTAATATTTTAATAGTATATGAAAAAACCTGTTGCTTCTGGTCATTTCCAATCAGAGAATTTTTCTGGTATTTTATTTGTGCTTTCTTATTGGAAAGCCTCGGTCACTTTGTTGATAATAGTATAATTAAATTAAAACTAGCTTCTTTTGGATTTGATTTGTTAGCGGCTCATTGCAAAGCCAGAAATCGCAGAGACAGCACCACTGCAAAATGGGCGACAATGTGGACCTGGAGAAGTGCTTTGAGGTGGTCAGCAACCTGGTCTCCGAAGCTGGCAGGGTAATTAATACACAAGTGGAAGAAAAACACTCGAGAGGCTAATGGAATTTTCCTTTTCCCTGGTAATTTCCCCAGCTAATCGCTCGCAACAATGAGACGCGACAGGAGTTTGTGACCAAGAGCAACGACATCGATCTGGTGACCCAGACGGACAAGGATGTGGAGCAGCTGCTGATGGACGGCATTCGCCGGCACTTTCCGGATCACAAGTAGGATTTATCTAGATTTTACCGGCAATTTTCTGAACCCTTTAGATTGCAGGTTCATTGGAGAGGAGGAGAGCAGCGGCGAGGAGGGCGTCAAGAAGCTGACCAATGATCCCACCTGGATCATCGATCCCGTGGACGGAACCATGAACTTTGTGCACGCCTTTCCCCACTCCTGCATTTCGGTGGGCCTGAAGGTGAACAAGGTCACGGAACTGGGACTGGTCTACAATCCCATCTTGGAGCAGCGCTTCACCGCGAGACGAGGACATGGAGCCTTCTACAACGGACGCAGGATCCATGTGAGTGGCCAGCAGGAACTGGCGAAGGCGTTGATCACCAGTGAATTCGGAACCACTCGGGACGAAGCCAAGATGAAGGTCGTCAACGAGAACTTCGAGAAGATGGCCAAGAAAGCGCATGGGTAAGTCATCCAATTTTTCCGGAGGAATGTAGAAAAAGTTATTTAAGAGTTTTATTGGTAAAATCCCTGAAGATCTTGATTCAAATTGAAATCCTAATCCTCATCCCTATCTCTATTTATTATAATAATAATATTAAATATTGTATTGCAGTTTACGCGTCCTGGGTTCGGCAGCCCTCAATATGTCGATGGTTGCTCTGGGAGCCGCCGATGCCAACTATGAGTTTGGAATCCATGCCTGGGATGTTTGTGCCGGGGACTTGATTGTCCGTGAGGCCGGGGGAGTGGTCATCGATCCCGCTGGCGGGGAATTCGACATTATGTCGCGAAGGGTCCTGGCAGCGGCCACTCCCCAGTTGGCGCAGGAAATCACCAAGGTGCTAACCCAGTTCCATCCGTTACCTCGCGATGATTAAGTAATGGCATTTGATGTAACCATAACGACTTAACCAATGGATCTGTCTCCATTCCGAGCTAACCAAATAAAAGCATTTTAAATAACCGACCATGTACCTAACAAACAAAAAGAATACGCCTAGTCATGGATATTCCAAATAAATCGTTTTATGTCAACAAATATATCTATTTCATTAAAAGTTGTTTTTAAAGTTGCTTATCTCTTTCCTCTCGAAATAGTTTCTTACCCCCTGATAAACCTTCACAATTTTCCAGCTCTTTATCAAATCATTCAAAGACGTTTGTTTGTTTTTCTGTAATTTTATTACAATCTGCGTATGTATTTCGCTTTCTAATTAGTTTTCGCAGTGTTCTTATCGTCTTTTGTTTATTTTTTATATTTTTTGTTTTCCGGCTTAGTGTTATGTATGCGGTTTTTGTCTATTTCTTAGTAAGTTAGTAAAGCGAGCTGGCCGCATATCTCTGATAATTGTGAATGCCCTGCACTGTGGAGCGGAGTGAATGGGTTGGATTCACCACAGACCAGAGGTCATGTATGATCTATCTGGGGATCTACGGAAAATAGACCTTTTGATATAGTACAGGGCATTGCAAGGTCGAAACTACCGACTCATCTGCGGGTTGTTGTTCGGGTATAAGCACTGTCTTGCATATTGATGGATGATTATTCTATATATCTGGTTGGATCTTTGCACTGTTTTCGAGTGGAGCGATATTAGTGGACATGTAACAAGCCATGATCGTAGGAAGTCGGCCTCCTTAATGCACTGTAACTTTTCTTTCTGTTCTTCTGTAGTTGTTGAGTATTTTGGACTATCGGTAATACCATTTAAAATTTGACACATCATTGAAAAATGTAATCAAAGCTACAGTAGGTAAAAAATTGTATCTATATATTTATTATATATCTGTATATCATAGTTAGGTATAAGTTAATAATGTAATTAAAAATCTGTTGATCTTTTCGTCGTCGTTTTTAATGCTACATTCACAAGGTTCCATTATGCGCACTGGTTTACAAAATTAACACAGAGATTTGTTGGGTTTGTGCTTGGATCGAAAGTATATAGTGTGGTGGAGGAAGGATCAGGGGAGAGAATTGCTAGCATTGTAAGATGCGTGACGTCTAAGATATTGCGAATTAGTCAATAGTCTATAAATTTATTTCGATATTCGATATTCTAGTTCAATAAGCGAAAGGTACACATGGAGCATAAAATCTACATTTAATATTTTCCTTTGTCACACTAATAAAATTTACAAAATTTTCTATATAAATTCAACAATCAATGAAGAGCTTTAGAGAAGAATCCTTTTGATTTTTACGTGCACGTATTTGATATATATAGATAGGTTTAAATATATATATGTATATTTGTTCGACTGTCTGTTGGTTTTCCTCGCTTGTTTCCATGTAAACTTAACACACAAATTTAGCACCAATCTATTCAAAAATTGATCAAACAATTTGATTGTTCCGAGTTATACAAATGAAGCCTTAAAGCACTTAACTTAGATGGTCTCTAACCGAGGGATCTTAATCGTAAGATGTTTAAATGTGTGATCCTTAGTGAGAAACTGAACACTTTTTAAATGGAGGTGGTGGTCGCCAAAGATCGTGAGGGGGTTTTTAAAATAATCAAGTCAGCGAGTTAATGGTAGGAATTAATTTAAATTTATTTACACGCAGATACAATAAACGCATCGATCTTCAATTCGAAATGATTTAAACTAGGCATAGATTTATCATTTATCATTCTGAATATTTGTATATTTTATATCGTATGGGATATCCAACTTTTGCAAGCAAACGATGTGGGTCTTTTTGCTTTTCGCCTACGCTAGGTCCGTATCTCTAGGTGTAACGTACACATATATCCGATATCGTTTAAAGTAGTTAATATTATTTAAAAAAACCAGTATTTATCGAACTTTAACGCTCGCCCTTCAGTCGAGTTCTAAATAGATGCCTTGGATAGCTGAATTTTCCCCTTCCTTTCGTTTCCTTTCATAATTTTGGTTGGGAGTGCTTGTTGGGATGAAGTGATGTGATGTGGCTGTGAAGTGATGTTCGGAGTGGAGCTTGATGAGTCAACAATGAAATAAATAATTTATGTTCGCGCATGGATATGTTCAGCGGGGAGTCCTGGTCGCTCTAACACTGCTAGTAATATGCATATAGGCTTAGTGAACTATCTCCAGTAATGCTGAGTAGACGTGTAACTGATCTCCGGCCCTCCCATTTCTCTCTATCGCTACTTCTCTATATAGCTACTTTTTCTTAAGCCTACAAGTGGTAGAATAATTCTTGTTGCGGTTGTTGCTTTGCACGGCCCTGGAATCGCGGGGATCCCCCATCCCAATTTATCCCATCCTACAGCTCGTCGTCGGCCTTCGGGATGTCGAAGATCTCGGCGAAAAGGGGCGGCAGGCGCAGCTTGGTCCAGTTCATCCGCAGCCAGTCTAGGTGTGAGAAGTGCTTGGCCCCCAGGGACCGCAGCTCGGGTATCTTGGCCTCCAGCGCCGGCATCAGTTGCAGTGCCTGCGGCGATCCGGCCCGCGATCGGAGGATCTGGACGCGCAGCGCCTCGGCCACCAGTTCCCTGGCCCTGCCGATCACCTTGGGCTCGCTGAGCCCGTTTCGATCGGAGGCCAGCAGGACCATGGCCGAGAAGAGCCCGATCTCGGTGTCACTCAGCCCATAGGCGTTCAGTGTGTTGGCAAAGTTCAGCAAGGCGTTCACGAAGTCAGACTGCAAAAAAAGCCAAACAAATTACTTATTGAAATGTGTAAAATATAAGAGGATAATTACGATACACTGATAGATAAATGAAGTATATCTTAAGATTTTTAATTAAAATTAATGGTGGTTTTTTATTATTTTTTTTTATAAGAAACAATCATAAATAATTTAGGTATTTTAAATTGTGATTTAAATATAATTTGCTCTTTTTTAATGACATAAAATATTTAAAGTAAATATGACTAACTCATATCAAATATTTTCAAATGAAATCTTGCAATTTTTACGTTTTTATTTCTATAAAGTTTTTTGCATTTAATTCAAGTATTTGCTAAAAATGTATGCGTTAAATAAAAAGATATTTATTTTTTCTATTTTATTATTTTGCTATTATTATATCTTAAATTCAATCCACCCGCTAGAAACTCAAGTTCACTTCCATGCTCTGAAAATTCCCTCCATCATGGCGTATACGTAATTTCCTGATAAACCCCTCCGAGTACTCACATCGTAGAGAATCTCCAGTTGCTGGCGCGTCAGATAGGCTCCGTCGTCCAGTGTCAGCGTCGCCTCGTTGATCAGGCGGGCCACATGCGTCAGCCAGACCTCGAAGAAGCCCAGCTTGATGAGTATCAGCTGGTCGTCTTGGGTGAAATCACAGAAGCCAGGTACGCGTTTCGCAAACTCCACAATCCGCTGCACGCCGGGCGTCACCCTGGCGGAGAACTGTTGCCATAGCCAGATCTTCTGGAACTCCAGGCTCTCCGCCACTGTGCTGGCAATCTGTGTGAGAGTGAGAATTGTTATAATAATATTTTCTGATTTATGCTGGGGAGAAACCCTAATCTTCCTTATAAGGAATCAATTTCAGTACATAGAAATAGTTTTCTTAATCTATTATATTTTATAACCATTATATTGATATAAACGATAATAGATTAAAAAATAAGTTATGAACGGAAATGTATTTTTTGAGACTTTTCAGAGCTTTTGTTTTTTTTTTTAAGATCTTATGGTGTTCATTATTTTATGTTCATGACAGGCATACATTTAAAATCAATGAAATTCAAATATTAATTTAATTTACTTCTATATTTTGAACATTTTATAACTTAAACTTTTTTAATGAATTTTTAACTTAAAATAAAATGATTAAATGAATTAATTGTGAATTTGTTCTTTATTTTGGGCATGATAGATTGGAGTTTTATTTACTGTCTGAAAGATTTGATGTTAAATCTTGAGATACCTACCCCATTTTGTGGCACCGTCACGGGGCGGCGCATGAGCTCCCTGGTCAGTTCCTCCGTGTAGGAGCAGTTTAGGCGGTGCGCCTGCGACACGCACATGATGACATCGTAGACGGTCAGCTCGTTGGCCGTTCCGGCCAGTCCGTCGTGGCACATTCCCACCTGGTGATGGGCCGATCCGCCCAGATCCGTGCCCATGCCCACGCCCACCAGCTGCTGGTGACCGCCCACAACAACGACGCCGACGCTTACGCCGCTGCCGCCGCTGGCATTGCCGCTGCTGCTGTTGTTATTGTTATTATTATTGTTATTGGCACTATTGCAACCGCCCAGCTCCGATGGCGAGGAGGCGATCGAACACATTTGTGGCGTTTGTGGAGTACTCGGGGTCTTCACTCGGACGCCGCTGACATGCGGTTGCTGTTGGAGTTGCTGGTGTTGCTGCTGCTGTTGGTGTTGCTGTTGCTGCTGTTGCAGGAGATGTTGCTGCTGTAGTTGATTTGGGTGTTGCAGAGTGCTGCTGGTTGACTCATCCACATTGAGGGAGGAGGAAGCGCCTGCGGCGGCTGCTCCGTTCAGCTCACGGGAACGCTTGGGAACGCGACCATAACGTACAGCTGAAGGGGTGAAAAGAGGGGTAGAAATGGGGTTATTAGTTACTTAGTTAATTGCACTGTAACAAGGTAAATAACCGGCAGTAAGTTGCATATTTAAATAGACCAGCTGCAGTATTTAATTCTAACTACTTTCCTATCCTATTGGTATTGATATACTCTAAGTGCTTAGAAATACAGAGAGAATTCCTCATTTTAAATGCATCGTTAAATGGTAGAAATAACCATAAATTGGCAGATATTTCCCATTAATTTAAATCGAATGAGTAAATTTTCAGTTGCAGAATAAGTAAATCAGTTGAATCAGTAATATTTATTTATTCAGCATTTTATCCTGTGCGGTTTCTGCATTTTCAATTTCCTTTAATTAATTATGCATTTTTAAGTAATTCAAAATAAATTAAGAGGAAAAACTGAAGGGGAAATTTGTTCAGTTTTTCTCTGCACCTCCCCAAAAGTATGCAACTGAAAAGCTCATTTAAATTTTACATTACATTATTTCGTTTTCCCACAGAAAATAAATAGTGCGTATTTTCTTGATAGTTTGTTTATCTTATTAGTCACCTGACTATTTAAATTCGCATATTTGCTCCCTACAAAAACACACAATTAACATATTATAGCCACCACCAAGTGATGATATATACTTTGTATTTAGTTGAAGGAAAATGGAAAAACTGGCACACGCATAAATCTTATAAATGCGTCACACACTTGTGGCCACACACAAAAAAAAGCACGTCGCCGTAAAATCGATAAGTCCAGGTAATTTTCTGGTTATTCCTACTCATATCGTTTTTACCTGAAATATTCATAAAATTTACATTAAATAATATCATTTTGCCGAATTCTCTCTCTCGGAGATTCTCTAACTTCGAAAAAGAGCGCAAGAATCAATATGGCGAGCAAAATGACATGAGTGGAAGCGAGAAAGACGTATTCGAAATTCGAACTGACGTACTTCGAAAGCATGTTTTCTCGCTCGCACTAGTATAAGTTTTGGTCGACCATATCACATTTACCTGGCCCCATATCAAGTTAAAAATGATCTTAAAAAAGGTCAAATTGACCTACGATTCATATCGAGTTTTTTTTGGGTGCACTTTCGAGTATCTGCGTATCTCTCGAGCAAATTGCCAGCATTTCTGTGCTATCAACTAGAAAATTTGCGTGTCCTACAAGTTGTTTCGTCTGTCGAAATGCGATACATTCTGTCGGGGCGAAAATAATTAATTTCAATTTTCGTTCGCCGTTTGAAGTGTTCATTAGCCGGCGGAGGTTTTTCGGCATTTCTCGGTTTGTCTGTGTAAAATTGCACAATGTGAAATTTTGGTTTGCTTTGTGCAACCGAAGACAACACATATTTTATTAATTAAAATCGCATTTGGCTGCCCAAAAACCAAGCAGACAGGCAGACAGAAGAAACAGACGCAGCTGCTCCAGTTGCCGGCTTTCAGTTTTCAGTTGCTCACTTTATCAGTGGGACATTGACCCACTGCGCTCAATATGAAAACGGAGGCAAGTGATTTCGTTGCCGCTGTTTTTGTTTTTCCTCTTGCCTTATATGCGTTTATGTGCGGCTATTTCTTTGGCTTGTCTTCTGTTGTTAATGTGTTGTTATTGTGGTTGTGATTGTGGTCTGGCGGTAGCCGCCGCCGGCGGTTTCCAAACAAACGGTCACAATAACAACACTAATGACGCTTTGCTCTTACTATGCGTCAGCAATTCGGCCTGACAACATCGTAAAATCCCATCAAATAAAACAACATAAAGTATGGCAAAGGCACAGGCAAAAGTGAAAGAAACTTCGCATGCATTGCGCATACGCAGCGTGGACAGGCAGAATCCGGAAAACTCTTCTGCACGCAAGGCAAAGCACCGCCAGCAGATGTGTAAAAGCAATTTGGCCATGTGAAAGATGGCCAACACACTGACCCATTTATGGCACACCAAAACATCGGCATCTGTACTTTTGTCGAGGGCCAAAAAGTCGTTTGCACTACACGAAAAGAACTAATAAGCATAAACAAAAATCAGCACTTGAAATTATTTATTATTTTAAGAAATTAAGAAAAACCAGTAAATATTCTAAAAAACTCATCCGAATTGGAATATCCTTTTCCTCATAATTTATTTCTTAAATAGATAATGAAATACCTATTAAAATAAAATATAATAAATATTATCATATATCGGCGTATCATTACTATCATCAGAATTATTATCAGTAAATATTATAAATTATTATTCCAGCATTTTCAAAAGTCATGCTGATTTGCCAGCAAAATGATCTAATTAGATAAGGTAAGCCCCGAATAGTTGACCTATTTCAGTGACGGATTTAGCAGCTTTGGAAGACCCTGAGCCGGAGCTTCCCTGACCTTAGTTAGGCGACAATATGATCCCATTACGACCGCAGCCAGACGAGGTTTCAGCTCGGTTCCAGCCTTGTCACGCTCTTAACTCTAGGTTTTCTAGGTTTACTGCGTTCTCATTGTGCTCGAGTCACGCTTTTCACCGCCCACCGAAGAGCGTCGATCGTAAATCGTCTCGTTGGCGTTAATTGTCACAGCTCGTAAATTAATTATGGCATAATTCGCCACAGCAGCACCCCCACATGCATAATACACTTGGACATTGGCTGGGTTTTTGTGCCACCTCCGATATGCCGCTAATTGCTCATGGCGGGCACTTGACGTTCGCGTTCTTGCTCTGTTTGTTCTAAGGTGTTTTCAATTAGCGATGGCCGAGGGCCTTTGGTTTATTGGTTTTGCAGATTTCACCCAGAAGTGGGCCAGATCGATGGCTGCTTCAGCTTCGGGAGAGTGTCCGTAATGGAATTGGAGTATCTATCATTGCGGAATCGGGAGCACAGCCCCTCCATAATCCCCGTCATTACTTATTCAATCGACCTGGCACCGGACCCTCTCGCCGCTCGCCTGTCACCTGTCACCACCCATTCAGACCAGGTCAACACCATCCATTACACATGCTCCGAGTGAGCCGAGGGAGCCTGAGCCCCGAGCCCACATAAATAAGCGGAGCGTTGCTGGCCTAAGCTCAAACTTTTTTCCCAGCTAAAAGCATCTTAAGTGATTTAGTGCAGCCAAATGACGAGCAGTTGGGAAGCAGGGAAAAGGGGAACAGAGGAGGGAGGAGGAAGAAGGGGCGGAAAAACTCGTTTAGGCCAGATTCACAGGGAGAAACACACACGGAAAAATATTTAATATCAATGAAAAATTCGAAGAAAGGTGGAACATATTTTTTATGGATATTGATAAGAATTAACTTTTTATTTTCCAATATTTTTTTGACCTTAACAAAGAGTTTAAAATACAGCTTCTTTTGAAAATCTAGTTTTAAAGATTTTAAAAGGAACTTAAAAAAACAAATTTTTATAATTTTGTAATTTTTACGAATTGGTTTTGGAAGTAGGAAACTAATCCCATATATACTTATAATTAATGTATTTTAGAAGTTACCATAATTTTAACAAAAGCTCTTAAGAATATGAATAACATATTTTTACCTAAATTCCCTTTTTTAAATTGTTCAATAGATTACATTTTTTTACCAGCTACTTCCAATTTCTGATTTTTTTTCTAGTGCACAGTTTGGGGGTGGGGCTGCTGCTCGGTAAGCTGAGCTCCCACTTCTGGCCGGGGCAAAAAAGGATTTAGGTCACCGAAATCTGAAATCTGAGGCAGCAGAAATGCGAGCGAGCGGCGGCAGCATCGCCCCGTAAAGTGGCCAAATGTTGCCCACATTTAGCTGGAGTTTTTTTTTCAGCCCCAACTTTTGGTCGTAGTCTTTCGTCGCTTTTCGGACCGAACCGGGCCATTAGCATGCGAAGAGGGCCAAAATGCCAACTGCCAGCAGGCAACATCAACATGTACATCCAAACATCCAACTGCCAAACTGTAGTAAAAGTAACACAGGCACAGACACGGATGTATGCATTATATATGGTTGATATTTTTTCGGCTTTATCGTGCGCATGAATGGCCTCCTCTAACCCCTGCTCTCCACCCAACTACCCAACTGGTGACCTCGTTTGAGGTCGTTCGTTCACCTGTCGCTGCTGGCTGCACTTTATGCACTCTACATTTGCATGACTGCCCGGGTGTGCCGGTGTGTAAGTGCAAGGTATGTGTGTGTGTGTGTTTACCCAGTTACGAAATTGTCCAAAATGCTGCGGCTTACTGCCGGGTGAAAGTTTGTTGTTTGTTTGCAGACCCACAGAGCAAAGTGGTTTAGAATAACTGACGAAATACCCTAACTGATTTTTTATTAATAAAAAAAAATTACTAGATGTTTTGCAATTGAAATTGTTAATGTAAATGCATTAAATATTACAAAAAGTTTAAATAAATCCTTGGTAAGCACAAAAGTAAATTCCCAAAAACTTAATAAAATTGTGTTAAATTTTATTTAGATTTTTTTTTAAGTTTGTTTCCAACTTAAAATAAAATAACGTATTGGTAAGTCCATCAATAAATTCTATAAATTTAATAATATGGTATTACATTTTTATTAATTTTTTTTAAAATAGTTTTTTTTGAATTTCTGCATCCCTTACCCAAACCAATAGACCCCTTTTAAAGCTAACCAAATGTAGCTCCAATTTTCCCGGAATTACTAGGGGAAAAGTGTGTGCACTTTTCGTGGCGTGTAGAAAACTAAACATTACTTTTGAAGCTTCTTTTGTTTGTTTTCATATGCACCTGGGTGTGCCAGTCAGCGAGTGTCGCTCTATCTGGAACAGCTAAAATTGTTAGTTGCGTGCTAAATTTGTTGCTTTTTTTTTGCTTTTTGCTAGCGGTAGCAGCACCAACAACAATTTACACGCAGCAACCGCCCACACGCCCCAGGCAACAACAACAACAACAACAGTAACAAAAGCAACAACTTAAGCGGCAACAGCGACAACAACAACAACAACGAACTGCAAAATTGTGTCAAGCAATTTGCGTAAATTATCGCCATGTTGTTGGGTGCTGCTTGGTTGGATTTTTGCCTATTCGGATTCGGATTCGGATTCGCTGCCTATTCATGAGGACAATTGCAGTTTAATGACCGTTCAAATTAACTTTGCCTCACTTCGATTTGCCATGACACATATTTATTTGATTTGATTTTGCCCCGATTGCAGTTGGTCTTCGAGTGAATTTACTTTTCTTTAACCAACACATCTGAGAAAAGCATCGAAAGTTGTAATGCGTATGAAATAAATTGATGGAAGTGCTGTTGCACTCAAAACTGATTTAAAATTGATTGCTCTTCATAAGCTTCTTAAAGTGTAAGGCCAACAAAAATAAATTCATCGTCCAGAAATTATATCAGATCAGAATATATTGTGCATCTTATTTTTATTGATTATATTTTGTAAATTATATACATCCAAAAAGCGATGGAATATAATGAAAAACTTTATATAAATGACAATAAAATCAGTTTTATGATTCACACCTCTTGGATTTTTTTGGTTTTTATACCTACATTTGTTTTTAAGTTTTACAAAATTTGTAATCTTTTAAGTTTGTTCAGTTGTAAAATTGTATTTTACTTTGTTTAATGCAATAAGTTTTTAGGAAACGAATTTAGTTTTAAAATTTGTTAAACTAGTAAAGAGTAAATAAAGGGAATACTCAGATTGAATAGAAGAAAATAGATTATTTTGTTAGAAATAAAGAGTCCAAATCTTAGTCCTTGTTAGAGGGACAATTTTTGACATTTTGCGGATAGTCACACACATATTTCTCCCGATCAAACCATTTGCCCAGCTCACAGAATCCCAAGGCAGGACACTTCTCCACGCAGGTGTAAAATAATCGACAGTGCTGGGGATGGGCGATAATCTGACCGTGGAAGCTGCATCTCACATCCTGGGCACAATGTCCTGGAATTTCCGGAGTTGAATGCGTCGTGATTGGAGTCACTGTGGTGTTGGTGTTACTCACACAAGTGCCATCCGATCTGGGACACTGACCCTTCACACAGGCCTTTAACTTGATGTCATAGATCAGACCAGGATTGCACTTCACTTTTTCGTAGGAACCAACGCCACAAACGATGTAACCGGAACAATCATCACAGTCAGGGACCAATTCATTCGGCTGGTGACCCGAACAAACGCAAATCTCATCCGCAGGACTACAGGGAAAATACTGTCCACAAGTAGGATGATTGTCAAGGATGAGGATGAGTCCTCGCAAGATTATTAGTGCTGCAAGGTAAGTCCTTAGGTACCGGTTATATGGGTACTGGTTAAAGTGCTTACCCAACTTCATGCTTTCAGCAATATGTTAGAATCTCAACTAATTCTTTGTGGGTGAAATGCAAGCCATTTTATAGGCCTTTATTAGCTGCACACTTGATAGCTAGATAAACTGTTGCATTGTTGCAATCTATTGACTTTGCAATTGACCCAACTCCCAGGGGAACACCCCATATCCTACCCCCCAACCATTACAATCCATTTCCACTTCAGATATGTGCACTATCTATGTTTATTTTATAACCAATAAGATCGCTAATGATATTAGGCTGAATAGAACTCACCCAATCATCATATGTACAGCACGTGTTCGCACATTTACGTTTTTGGGGCAGGGCAAACAGTCAGAATATGAATAAAAAATCAAATCGAGCGAGAAATCAAAGGCAGCCAGCAGAGCGGCCATATATGCAAATTTTGAACTGACCTACTCCCATAAGAAAATCAAATAAAGCCAAGCCAAGCCAAACCAAACGAAACGAACAGAACAGAAACAAAACGAAACTAAACCAGATAGAGAACGGCAATAATATCAAAATTCCAAAGTGCTGGCAAATATTTATGCAAATCCCCAGAGGAGGGCGTCGATCTCGAGTCAATCAATCAGATTTCCAGAATTTCTTTGTATTTTTTTTCGAACAGCGGGTGGGTGACAGATTCCAATGGCAAATTGCGGGCAATTAGCGGGGAACTGGTGAAAGGCTTTCCAAGGTGTGTAAATGGAACCCCTTTCGTGCTCTTTTGATTTCTTAATGGGCAGGGGGAAAAGCGACAAAAGGTACACAGAAATAAAAAATTATCATAGAAACTTAACTATTCGTTCATTAATTAAAAAGTACATAATATTTCCTTAAAGAAGAATATTTAGTATGAAATTAATTAAACAAAGTCGAGACTTTATTTAAATTTGTGTTATATGTATACCCCCACTATTAAAATACATCTAGTATATTAGTATGGTTTTTTTTTTGGTGTATATATATTTCATTTCTCCATTCACATGCTCATCTAAGTTGCTGACCCGCCTTCAAATACTCCAGACCCCCGATTCCCTATCCCCGACTTCCCCCACAGCGACCACTCACATATATCTCTACGTATACATAATTCACTTAAGCGCGCTCAACGAAGCGAGATGAATGACCTCAATTTGAATAGTTGTCCATATAGCCAAAGTTCCCCCCGTTCTTTCTTTGCCCCTCTTGGACTTTCGGGTGCCATTTAAATCAACAAAAGCCGCCGCCTACTTTTTTGACAATCTCTCGCTCTTACTTATTTTTTAGGTTCTGTTTTCATGTTGATTGCATTCTTGTAAAATTATTCAAATGCTCCACAATTTTCGGGGCCAGTTCTCTCCCATAAAGCTTGGAATCGGGGTTATAATTATGGTGCTCAAAAAGGAGTGGCTGCTTCCATCTCTGCAGCCATCGTTATAACGATATAACCATCATCACCATCACCACCATCATCATCAACATCATCGCTGTCGCATTCGTTGCCGCTGGCATCGTTTTTCTTTTTTATCTATTTGACACAATTCTCTGGGCAAAGTTGAGTTCTCTTGGCCCCTTCGTACCCCGGATTTTTGTTTAGTGACACACTTTATATGGCGTTCTCTTTTTCCCACTTTTATACATTTTTTATTTTGTTTAGACTACCTAATTAGATAAAAGCGGAGAGTCTTGGGTGGTTGTACTCTCGCTGATAGAGTGGCTAGATCGAAGCCAGAAAATAACCGACTAATGGGTAGAAATTTAGATAAATTGCCAGCGACAAGAAGGCTTCATCAGAAATCTGTAATAACTGGCGCGCTTCACGTCCGGCCATAAACATTTCAATTAGCCAGCAGCTTAGCGCAGATTATCGTCAGCCGACTGCCAACCGCCAAAAATAAATCGAGGCACTGAGCAAAAATTCAGCTAGAATTTATAAAATATTTTTAAATAATAAAAGATTTATGATAAATTTAAATTATAATTATGTTTGTTTTAAATGGAATTACCACATTAACAATAATAAAATAACTAAAAAATAATTTTCAGCGTAAATTCTGTGCATTTATATATCATTAGGAGTATTTTGAACCTGCTCTTTAAAAAAAGAATGTATTAAAGAATTGAGAATCGAAAAATCGTAAAAGTGCAGTAATGCTATACTTATTTTTTGCTGTGCAGATTCAGTGGAATTACCACATCATTAAACGTATTTTGAACCTGCTCGAAAGAGCATTTTCTTAAACCGCATTTATGGGCTGTTGCTGCTGCGTCAGAATCGAAAATTAATTCCAGACTCGAATTAGGCATGCAAAATTAAAAATTAAAGCGGCCAGAATAAAAAGCGTTTAACTGCCGGAAGCAATTCTAACTGTAAACCGCAAGCGGGACAAACAGGGCGAGGGCAACGCGGCGTATGAGTAATGCCGCCGAAATTATCGCCGCGAGACGTGCGACTTCGAGTGGTCTTATCAAATATTTGTACTAAAATGTGCGGCTAAATTAAAACAAAGCAGCAAAACAACAAACAAAAGGCAGACGGCCAAAAAACAAAATAAACGAGAGAAGTACGAAATGAAATAGAAGAGGAAAAATAGGTTTCGATGCTCCAATTTGATAAGCGGCGGGCGCATTAGCAATTAGCGAATTAAATGCCAGCCCAGCGAACGCGCGTTTGTGCTATAAATGTTTCAATGAACTAAAAAAGCCTTCGGATCCCATCTATCTCGATGGTCGAGGGAGCCTTAATGAAAAAAACAAACAATTAAATTAGCCAAGAGGCAAAACGTCAGGCCGAAGACAAGAAAGACAAAAATGCGAATCGACAGGGCAAAACTAGAACGCCGCCACATTTGTGAAATGCCAAAGACACACGCATCCACATCTACAGATACCTTATAATACAGACGAGCCACGGATACAGCCAGTAGATGAGATCAACGCTCCCAACAGATTCGTCGATCGACCGACGATCGCCGGGTGATCGATCGTTAGGGCAGCTGCCAGCCAATCCGATCCCATCCGATCCAATCCAATCCAACCCGTGATTGATTGAATTAATAATACGAATTAACAGCGCCAAGTAGGTAAGATCAATGATCGCGAGCCAAGTGGAACGGCATTCGATTCGTGGGCGCTTTCATCGGCAGAAGCTGCCCGAGTGTCTGAAGCTATCAAAACAGGAAAGATACGGATCACAATAGTGGATCATAACAATCTATGTGTGTTCAGTAGCTGCGATCGCTAAGCGAGTGAAAAGCCCTCTCGCTCACTGGAAATATTTATGACAATTTCTCTTTAAAAGCTAATATTTTGGAAAAAAATAATAAACACAAATTAAAGAAGCTTAAAACCATTTCTAAGAACTATGATCTTCCTAGAAATTAAGCATGATTAATGACTTCTAAATAACTTATAAGAAAGTTTTCAGAGAAATTCTACATTTTAATTTACATTTTGGTCAAGTATTTCCGAAAAGATTTTTAAAACCCAATTCGTTAAAATTTACTGCGATTAATCAGTAAAACTATTTTATTATTTCTGTAGAAAAAAAAATATTTTTAAAGAACAAATAATTAAATAAGCATTAATTTCTTATTTTTTGCAAGTGCAATATATGGAGTTCAATTATCGATGGCTAATTAAATGAAATATATTATCAATTAATCGTTGTAAAATATTATTATTTCAAGTAGCCGGAAATCAATTAAGACAACTTCAGTGATCGATAATAATCAAATAATTATTCAGACTACAATTTTTTATTTATGCTAATTGAAAAGTGAGCAATCGATACGCCTTAACATTTCCTATCATATCCTTCAAAGACTTAATTTTAAGACTGGGTTTTGATTTGATATATAATCTCATTAAGTTTGCCCCTCAATTTGCTGATCCCATGTAAGACCCATTGCATTCCCTTCAAGTCGAATCGAATCGAATCTCGGCATAATCAGATCCCGCCAAATGGCATCGATATCAGCAGCGGTATCAGCAGAGCAGCTTCCTGTCCGACGGCCCCTACTGTCTCAGCATAATAAGATCAACATCAGATCCGTCACCATATTGTCAATGAAAGTCAACAAGAGTCGTTGTCTTCATTATGAGGAGCACTCTCCTCGCACACAGACAGACGATCATTGACCGGGACGGAGAGTTGCAAGCGCGTGAGTGATTTCCCCGGTTGGATCCCTCGGTTCCCTGGGTTCCCTTGATCACCAGATCCCCAGATCCCCCGATCCTTTCAGGGCACTGGCCAGTGGCTACCGATCGGTGGGGGAAAAGGGGAATTGGTAACCAGTGCGTTGAACTATAAACGTCGTTCTTCGGTCTTCTTGCTGGGGCATTTCATTCTTGACTTTTTGCTGTGCGTCGTTTGGCAACGTCATCGTCATCAGCAGGCGATTACGATCGTCATCATTATGAGAACGAGAGTCTGGCCTGGAGTTTGCCTGCTTGTTTTGCAATATCATAATCAGTAGCCCTCCCCTGTAGCTCCGCTGTTCTCCCTTTTTTTCGCTGCTCATTTAGCAATTCGGATTCGGTGCAACGAACGCGAGTTTCAGTTTCTTTTTTGGATTTTGGGTATATTTCGGTGAGTTGTTCTGACTCCGTATCTGTATCTTCCCCTTGAGTTGCTCACTTCTGCACAGTTAACAAATTGTAATGCACAATGTTATAATAAGTTGAAATATATAACTTTTTTTGTTTTAAAATATAAATGATTGAATAATTGTGTACGTGATATAAGATCATTTTAGGAACTTCAAGTTATCTTTTAATTTTTATATTTCATATTCAAAATGTTGTATTTGAAGTATTTTTTAGGAATATGTTTGTTTTGGAACCCCTTATATCTTTTGATATGAATGAAGAAAGATGTGTTTTTTTTTCTGAGTGTCGATCGATCAGCTGTGGTTGGTTGGTGTTGCTGTTGTGCTGGTGATGTTGCTGCTGTTGCTGCTGCCTTGAGGTCGATCCCTTTGTGGGCTTTGCTCTGCTTGCGGATTGCTATCAAAAT